AATGCCTTGTTTACCGACCAATGAATGAGCTTCATTTTCATGCATGTTGAGCCATCATTTTAGGCCAATTTTCCACTGTTTCAAACCTGCCTAGGGTCTGTTTGGGGTTGGTTTTGCCTTTGGTGCATTGCTTTGGGTACCTCTAGTGTAACGCACTTCACTAGTTTCGGTACCTGGGCCTCCTAGCTTGCATAGTGTGCCATGTTTGCATGATTCGGGACCACTGTTTATCATGTTTCAGAGCTGTATCATATGTGTTTGTATGCCATATTGCATCCCTTGCCATGCTTTGGTAGAGTGGCATGTTATGCCTTAGGATCGGTCCTTGGCATTCGTGCGCGTTTGCATGCATTTCGGTTGTTTCATTCCCTATCGTATGGCCACTGATGTGAGTGTGGCTGAGGTCCACTCATGTTGGTGTAAGTCCATCATGCATTGTGTATGCCATTTCAGTCCATAGCATTGCGTATGCTAGGTTGTATGTTAGAGCATTGTGTATGCCATGTTACATCGAGCATTGTGTATGCCATTTCATAGCATTGCGTATGCTAGGTTGTATATTAGTCGCATTGTGTATGCCATCTCATTTGCATTGTGTTTGGGATAGGAGTTAGCCCAAGTACGGGAAACGAGGGACGTTTCGTACTCCGAGTGACGGAACGTGTCTCAATTCCTGGTTGCTGACACTCCAGATTACCCATGATGGAGTTTAGGTCTCGTTGTGTTTTTATGTGCATTCATTTCACATTGAGTCGTGCAATTCGACTCCTCGGCCATCATGCATCGAGATGCGTGATTGGTGGCACGATGATCGAGGACTACACTCCCTGAAGAGTAGTCATACATACATATGTTAAAATACTTTGCCATGCCCCTTTGTTGCTCTCTGTTGCAGCAAATCAGAAATCAGCAGCCTTCTGGAGCTTTGCACAATATTCCGAGAACAATTGCAAACAGAGGCAAACCGGGGCATCGCAATGGATTTCCGCGCAAGGCAACTCGAACATGCATCATTCATCATTCGGAACAGAGCTGAGGCGGTCCATGGATTTGCATACCTAGTTTACTGTTTTCCTAGTTAATTTGTTAATTAATTAGGGCTTTGTATTTATTCGGACTGTATTATTCATTTGGACTGTATTATTTATTCGGACCCTCCGAGCGAGGGCACAACTGTAATAAGTGTGCGTGTGTGTGTTTGTCTTCCAACCCCACGTCTTTCTCCCTTTTATTTACTAGCTTATGATGGTTAGATTAGGGCATATTTCAATTAGCATACAGTATGATAGCATGTTTGCATTCACTCATCTGTCTTGCATGCACCGGGCTCGGCGCATCATACTAACTGCATTGTATTTCAATTCTGAGTTGAATACTTGTTAGTTGTAGCATTTCACATGCCATCTCTAGAATAGCCGAGCCTATCTTAGTTGCATTCTTGCATATGTTGCATTAGGCATCTCTGTATAGTTAGGATCATGCATGATTTCTAATTAGCTTTTGTTTTGGCTTGGAGTACTCAGTAAGTGTTTTCGCTTTAGCATCCTTGCATATGTGTGAGTGACTGCCATGATAGCATGCTTACCATAAGGCTATTTGCTTATGCGATATACCTGTCTGAATGCCTGTGGGTAAAGGTTGGATTATCTGAATTGGAATAATACATTGACTGTGAATTTTAAGCCCACTTGAGAGTGGCAAATCATCATGTTTTCTAAGCCCACCTGAGGGTGGCAAATCCACATTTTAGCCTACTTGCGAGTAGCAAACTGTTTTTCGAAACAAACATGAAATGTTTTGTTCCAATTCAGGCGATCTAGTCTATACTTGTATGCTGTGCGCATCACATAGTAAATCTAGGCTAATAACTGGAATAAGAACGCATAATGTTTTCAAAACTAGATATCATGGTTAGTAGAGGCCGATCTTTGATCGGGCGAGCGGGAGTGCTCACGAAGTGACCTTCCCCAGTCGTACCCAAGTTCCCGAGCCGAGACAACTTTGGTGATGACGGACACGTGGCCTTCGGCAACGAGTCAGGGTTTCCTAAATTTCCCAAAATAAAATATTTAGGTGGCGACTCTGTATCTGGCAAAGCAATCCATGTTTGGCACTTCTTTCAAAAAAATCTGTTTTCAAAAACGATTTTTCAGATTTGGACTCTTTGATGATTCATCGGTCTTGCATTGCACTTTGTGAGATTAGATACAGGACCGTGACACAAATTGAGTCCGAACTGTAGTGAGCCCATATGAACAGAACGGGATTCATCCTCCCGGGGCGTTCGGGGACGTCTACAACTTGCATCCTCCAGCTAAGTTTTTTGATCAATCAAGTCTGACACTGTTCGGGCAAATTTAGGAGGCAAGAACTACAACGAAATAACAACTTAGAGAACATAATATGGATGGTTTAAGCAGAAAATCTGCAACAGTTTAATACAGATACTATAATTAAAAAGTTAACTACAACAAAAAGTTTGTTAGAGCAACTCCAATGGTGAAAACTAAAACATACAATACAAAAAAGGTCATTTTTAGCTATACAAATCCAATGGTCCCATGTTATTTTGGCACAACCAGCTCTCATATCAATTTGTGACCATTAGATCTACTTCCCAAAAAACATCTATTGTTCATAATTCCCTTTGTTTATGAGGGTGTAGCTAAAAATGGCTTTGGCTCAAGGATTTGGCATGGCATTAGAGTTGCTCTTATACAACCTTGGAATGATACAATTCATACACATGCAAACAATGACTACAAATGTTTTGAGATTTTGACACTGAGAACCCTTTTCAAGTCAACTACATTAACTGAGCAATGAAACAAACACACGTGCATACGTGATATGATACTGCTACCAAGAAAAATATACCATGAGACCAAGAAAATTTAATGATTAATTCAGAGAAACTCCAAATTAACTCAGCTAACACTTCCTGTAATAAAATTTTGGCAAATTGCAATTTCTGCTTCTTTTTTTTTCCCTTTTTCCTTTTTTTCTATTTTTTTTTTCCCTTCATTATAGATTAATTAAATCCCCAAATTTTAATGTTTTAGGTGCAAATATTTCTGCAATGTCATGTTGTCCACTATTAACAAGGATAAGTAAATAATCATAATGAAAGGACAACAAAAAAAAATGCCTACCAGAATAGGAAGATCCATCATTATACCATCCACAATATAGAAAACCACAACCCTCTACTTCACTCGGCACTAGGAATCAATCTTAAAATCAACAGAACGAAAAATAAGATTAAACAATAACTAAATCAAATAATTTATGCCATGAGACATAAATGCAAACAGAGCAATGAAACCAAAAACAGTATTTCTATCTTCTTTTTTTTAGAAACTTTCTTTACCCTCATAGATCCGTTTCAAATCAGAAACACAGCGGAACAGCGAAACACGTGATCCTGACCAACGACCCTCAAGATTGTGGAGGAATCAGACCGTCCACAATTGGCCAATGGGGAAGAGTGACCACTATATACTGCTACTGTTTGGAGTGTCATATGGCACTTCCTATCATATGGATTTTCTTCCTCATAGGGGAAGATTTCTGAGAGAAACCGAATCTCAAAACATAACCTTCAAACATTTTACAAATAAAATTGCAGCATCAATTCTCAACACTTCCAAACCCCAAAAGGCCACCCATCCTAATCAGACCCTTGGAAACATGGTACTATTTTTTAGATTATGAAGTATGCAGTTACCATACATTTTGGGAATTGGGGTGTATTGGTGTTGGGACCAAACCCTAAACTTCTTGAACCGACTCCAAAGGCCCCTAGCGTAGTGTCACGTCCCATCAAATTACCAAGATAAAATTACCTACCAAAAGAAAGTCTCAAGGAAGGAAGGTTAAATGGAATATTCTGGAAGCTCCTAGAAGACTTGAGAAAATATGAAGACCATGCAGGATGCTGGAAGCTTCTAGAACTCCTTAGAGTTTTATAGAGAATTGTACATGTAGATATTTGTAGACCCTTCTAGACATGTACATTCTAGAGTGATTCTAGAATAGTCTATAAGATGTAGTAGGAGGAAGGATCTAGAATCCTCTCCATCATTGTAGATCTAGAACGTTCCTTGTAGCTTATAAAAGGGGGAGGGCCTCATTTGCGCAAACCACCCAAGTGCATCCAAAAATTGTAAAGCTTTCTCCCAAGTGAATACAAGGCATTCTCTCAAACTCTCTTGTGTTCTTCTAACTTCTCTTTCCTATAAGTTTGTGAGTTAGACTGACTTAGCATCATCAAGTGAGACTTGAGATTGTCTAAGTGCCGCACGAATAGCTTGGAAACAACCAAGGCCGTGATGAAACGCTTAGTCCCACCATTTTAAGAGAAGATGGAATGGATGAAAGCAGACCAAAAACATTCGACTTTCCTTGTTAAACACCTTTTATGTGTTAGTATGAATTGAAATATGTGGAGAAATGGTAATTCACAAGGATTCGACAGAATTTTGAATCTGAGCAAGGTACCTGAATGTTAACTTCTTTTTTTGTCTTTTGTCTTGGTCTTAGTTTGAAAAAGTAATCAACCCCCCTCCTCTCTCTATCTCTCTCCAAACTTGTATCAATTGAGCATGAATTTGAAATCATGGATATCAAGTACCGCAAAACTATGAGTGAAACCCATAGACTATGTTTGGATTAGTTGATGAGATATATTTTTTCACAAATCCTTTCTTCTTCTTCTTTTCCTCCGTAGATCCAAACACAATATTTGAGTTTATGGTAGCAGGTTGACCGTCATTTCACTCATTGCTGATAATTAGAAGACCATTCATGTATTACCTATCATGGAAAACTTGATGTTGGCTACTTGTTATCATTTAACCAATTGAATGGACTCTTTTTGCACCTCTTGTGTGTAAATGAATGTTTTTTCGGAGATTTTTCCTTTTTTAGATAGTGAAATAATGTACCCTTTTCTTCTGCATTTCTGAACTTTTCTTCATAATCCTTTAATGTTGGTGCAGGAGTTGCCGAGTTGCTTGCCATCAGTTTCATTCAGGGGAAGGCCAATAATGGAAAGGAAGGTATTAGTTTGCCTTCAAGACCCAGTATCTAGACTGTGGCCAGTCATCTACCATGAGAAACAGGGTATCAAAGTTTTGGCAAGTGGTTGGGAAGCATTTTGTAAGGCAAATCGCATTCAGGTTGGAGATGAATGTGCTTTTGAAATTGAGGATGTGTCTGAGTGCATTTATAAGGTTAATGTTGATAGGAAGTAAGATGGAGCTTCGAACTCTTCTAGTTTCAACAGTACATATCAGTACTTTGCCAAATATGATGAACATGTAAAGACTAGAACCTATGAAACATATATTTTGAGTTAGGAAAGTGTTACACTTATATTATTTTTGTACATAACTTATGACTTGTTGAAAATATAAGTTATCTTGATGGATATTTTCCTTTAAAATGTCAAAAAATAGAACTTGCTATATCTTTATGGATTATTTTGCTATATAGATTTTCTATTTGTATATCTCTACTAGATTATAGGAATTTTGACCAAGTTTTACTCATGCTGTCATGAATTGGGAATAGCTCGTTTGTCAATGGTGGATCTTTTTTATGAGACAGATGGTGGGTATTATGTGATCTTTTGTTAATGAACAATTGTAGTTTAACTCTTTCAATTATCACTGCATATCACTTTACTTTTTTTTAACTTTAAACCATACATTTAGACTAAACTATTAAAAATTATACAAAAACCCCTTTTTTAGAGGGGTGGGTGGAAGTGAAACAATTTTCATAATTGAGAGATTTAAATGTGCATTTTAAAATTAAGGGGGCTACAGTTGATTTTATTTTTTTTATTTTTTTTATTTTTTTGATCAGCAAAAGAAAATGTATTGATGAAAATCAAATGTACAGAATACAAAGATGAACATCAATAAAGCGAGGCGAGTGCCAAAGCATCAAAGCAAGCTAGATGATTCCAACTAGGTTGGGACCGGAAAGCAAGCCAATCATCTACTAGTTGTGATTTTAATTGATAGTTGTGAGAGGTAAAATGTAACTAACCCTTTGAAAAAGGGTAATGGGCTTTCAACATATGACGACTTTTTTTGAGTGTGATTATTATACTTCTTATCTTTTTTGGAGTGTTGAATAGGAAAGCCCCAAATGAGTCTAGTGTCATGGCCTTGGTTATTTACAAAGTTTTACTCCTTTAAATATGTAAATTCTTAAGGCATTTTATTTGAGATATGAATTGGTTTTGTAATTGTATGACATGCTATAGATTCAGGCTTAGGGGTGAATATATAATACAATTAGATAATCAAAAGTTTTACTTGACCTAACTCACAAGTTTGCAAGAAAGAGAAATAAAAAGACAAAAAGAGTTTAAGAGAATGCCTTTGTATTTACCTTAAAAATATTCTAGATACTTTCATGTACATTATAGAATTATATACCATATTTTCACATTTTCTCAAGTCTTCCAAGAACTTCCGTAATATTTCATTAGCCTCCTTTCCTTGAGACTTTCTCTTGGTAGGCAATTCTGTCTAGGTAATCTAGCGGGACGTGACACTAGGATCAGGAACGCGAAATTTTTGTATGCTAATAGGGTTTACGTGACACTACCTTCCAACAATTACAAATATATGTGCCCCCTCTTGTTCCCCAAAGATCCCTACATAATGTGATGGATCCTATTGTTAAAGTCAATCACAATAATAGAAGGTATCACATGAAATATACCCTCTTAACCTACAAAAATTACTCAAAAACAAGGATTGCGGACTTGAGTCATAACTTGATTCTAATTTCATTGAATGTAGTGTCCAGGAGTCCATAGTCAAAATTAATGAGTCTAAATCTTGTATCTAAGCGTTGCTCCAAAGACTGGAGCCTATGTCCTTGAACTCTACTTTGCCCTTGCGTCTTCTGCCCTACCTTTGATAAGAAAGTGGGACAGAAATGGGTTTTGCTTCCCTCCATTCTAACTCGCCCTACCCCCACCCCATATCTTATATATTCTTTAGTTTTTTTCAAAATAATAAGATTAAATATTAGAAAAATTTATCTATAAATCTCATTTTGAGAAATGATAATCCATTTAGTTTCAAGATTTTTTTATAAACCAATTAGTCCCATTAATTTTAGAAATGTAGATTTAATATATTATTTGAAAATTAAATTTACGGTTATACCTTTATTTTTTATTTTATTTTTTTCCTTTTGTGATAGAAAGGTAAGGTACACAATATATAAAAATTGAATTCGGGATGAATTTTTATATGACAATCTTTTTATTTGGAAAACATTTCAAAAGGAGTACAAAAATGACTTTAAATATGGGATTCTTCAAACATTCCACAACGATGTGGAATTCTTTAAACATTTCAAAAGGAGTACAACAACTCCTTAGTAAACTTTGAACAAATGTATAATTTTAAACTGTAACACTCCAATGTAACACTTAAGCGTAACACTCTAATGTAACACTAAAAAAAAAAAACCTTAGTATACTTTTCCTAAGCATAACACTCCAAAAAAATGTCTTAGTGTAACACTCTAATGTAATATATAAAAAAAAATCATTTAATGTACTTTTTCCAAACGTGACACTCTAATATAACACTCTAATGTAATACACAAAAAAAACTCCTTAATGTAACACTCTAATATAATCTATAAAAGAAAAACGTCTTTAGTATACTTTTTTCAAACATAGCACTCCAAAAAAACTCCTTACTATAACACTTCAATGTGACACAAAAAAACTCTTTAATGTACTTTTCTTAAACGTAACACTCTAATATAACTTTCCAAAAAAAGAATATGGGATTTTCAAACCATTCTAAAAGGAATACAAAAATCCATTAGTAAGTTTTGGACAAATGTATAATTTCAAATTGTGAGTAGTACGCTTGAAAAAAGTACAATAAAGAGTTTTTAGTGTTTTTGTGTTTTTGTGTGTGTTACATTGGCGCATGTTACATTGGAATGTTACGTTTGGGATTACATTGGCCCTGTATGGTAGGGCTTATTTCCAGTTTATTTTAGCTTTTAGCTTAATTTAAACTATTTTGATGTGTTTGGTTCAACTTTATCTTTGAGTGGGGGAGGAGAAACTTAATTTATAAGTCAAAAATCAGCTTATGTTCACAGTTATAAGCAATAAGTTGTTAGGTTATAAGTTATAATCACTTTCTCACAACTCTACCAAACGGGGCCAATGATTGGAGTGTTACGTTGATTGGAGTGTTACGTTTGTGTTATATTGGAGTGCTACATTTAAGAAAAGTACATTAAGAAAAAAAAATTAATGTTATGTTGTTACATTTAACAAAAGTACAGTAAGAAATTTTTTAGTGTGTTACATTGGAGTGCTACATTATTAAAGTATTACGTTTTTATTCATAATATGAGATTTGTTCTAAAAGAAGAAAAAATCCTGTGTTTGGTGGAGCTTTTCAAATATGATTCCACAACATGATTTTAGTGCTCTATTTGTTTACAATTTTCAAAAATGATTCCACACCCACTTCTCAAAACACGTCTACCTGATCATCCTCCAGGACGTCTCCCGAACATCCGGCCGGTTGACTGGAACAGTATTCATGTTTTTTTTTTGGCACATGCTATTTTTATATTTTAAATAAAAAAATATTTTGGGAATTTTTTTAAAATTTTTTATGAGCTTTGAATAGAATTTTAGGTTGTGTGTTTGGTTGTGAGTTGTAAATTTTTTAATCAAATATCATATGTCACATCATTCAATTCAAACTCAATTCAAAACTTTTTTCAAAACTCATAACCAAACAAATTTTCCACACTAAAATCATAATTTCAAAACTCACAAACTCAAAATATAACCCTATTCTCAAATAATAATTCTAAAACTCTACCAAACGCAACCCAAAACTTCTATAGTGCGGATTGCCCAAATGTGTAATTTTATATTTGGAAAAATTCACTTTTGTTCCTAAAAAATTAAACCTAAATATGTAAGTGACTATCATTTTGTGTAATTTTCACTTTAATGAGACCTTTAGGTTCATAAAAAAAAAGGAAAGACTAAACAATTCACAAGATTACATTTTGAGATTTACTGGTACTTCACCCTAAATATTACATTTATTTATTTTCGCCAATTTATTTCTCATCCAACATATATTAATTTTCATTAATTATAAATTAGTATCCATAATATATTATATCATTTTTATTTTTTTTTAATATTCCCAATTTTTAAGTTACAAAATTAATCCACCCTGCCTACTCTTGTCACCAACCCAATTTATTCCACCCCAATATGATATAGTTGAGGGACGGGAGACTACAAACCCGCCCTATTGCCATGCTAGCGCAAATGATGAAACATAGAATTAGAAGGAACTGTGCACTAGACCAACCACTATGGATGCTCCTAAGCAAGCACTACAAACAATTAGTTATTCATGTCAAGACTCGCAATCATATCAAGGTAAGTCCAATTCAAGGGCAACAACAATCTCTCTTTCAAGATCTTTATTTTTGCATTCATACAGAAACATTAACCCAGAATCCTGAGACAAGTATTATCTGTGGATTAAAGAAAAAAGAATATACATATACTGAGCTCTGCATAGATACAGTTTTCCCTCACCAGCTGATCCCTTACAAAACAAACAAGGAGTGGCGAGCCATTACACAACGAGTTGTCAAGTCAAGAGCTAGAGAGAATAGATGACACGTTCCAAGGGTGAAGCCAATCACATCCAATGACACTATTGTCTAGTTAGGATCAAGCACAAAAAACATTGATTCATGGAGCTATGACTTGAAATGCAAGGGATACTAGCTCATTCGATAGAAGGAAACCATCCGGATCACTGAGCCTAATAAAAGCCACGGTCTCTTCTATCTCTTCCTCATCAGATAACAATGCACAGAAACGATCTGTTGTTATAAGGGTTCTATGCCGATCCAAACAAACCACATGCCCACTTTTCACAAAAGGTCTATAGGCCTTGCAAAGATAGTGAACAAGAGAAGTACCAAATGTTTTTCTAAAGGACTTCAAGTCCAACCCTTTGGCAGTTCTAAAAGAGAGCATCACAGCATCCATGGCCATGTCCTTGGGATCGGGAAAACTATCCTCACTAAGCCCCACTACCCTGTCCTCTAAATTTTGATCGTAACCCGCGTACTCTTTCATCTTTTTTGGCCTTGAAAATCTGAATCCGCCCAAGAAACTGGTAGAACCAAGGCCAAAACCATAGAATGA